CGTGGTTCACAGGCCAGTGCTTACCCTACAGCGCCACTCCGTAGAAAGGCATTCCTAGCTTTATCCAGTGGATCACACGGGATCGAACCCGCGACCTTGGTGTTATTAGCACCACACACTAACCAACTGAGCTAGCAGGGGCTAGGCATTGAGCGGATTGGTTTAGGTATTGCACCTTTTTTTTTATTCACAAAGCAACACTGAGGTAGGGAGTATTTGCAAAACTAATAGTCTTGGAGAAATTAAATAGCTTACCCCTGGACAGATGACTACAAGGTGGCGGTTGTGAACTGGTGTTCTTCCAAGGGCATTATTCTATTAATCACCTTTTTCCTACCTAAAATGGCTCCTTTGTGTTCTGTGCCTCGTTCGACAGATTTGTTGAGCATTGTTAGTTATACAAAAATGAAGATTATATTGAGAAAAAATATATCCCCCTTCTTTAAATGATTATAGGTATTTAAGACAGATGAAGAATTTAAAAGCACAAGTTGGAACTATTGCACACACTTAGAAACATATTTATCCTAATTTCGGGGGTAAATAATTAGTAAGAGAGGTATGTTTTGAGAAATTTCATTGGCTGTAAGGCGGACATTGTCGTCATGATTTCATGAGAAACTGTAGGATCAGTCCTAGTTGATCCAATAGAAAATGTGCTGTTGGAAAGCAATAAAGGTGACAAGAGGTTTACGGAGGTCACACACCGGGTGTGTGTGATCTATGCGGCCTTGGACGCTGGTGATTGAACCACAGGTTCTGCTGCCAGAGAACCACATTTCTTAAAAGGTTGCCGGTTTCTTGGAGCATTGAAACATTGTCAGAGCAGCCAGTATTTGGATTGAGGGCAAAATTGGAGATATGTATGATGGCGTTCATCAGAATCCTTCAGCAGATCGTAGAATTGTCAGGCACACTGCAGGGTTGCCAAAAGTGCTTCATCTTTTGTGATAAGTATTTTACAAAACTAAGAGTCCGGTAGCGATTCCCTGCATGGGAGAGAAGGTTAAAATAACTAACTGAAAGGTTGCTGGTTTGAATCCATCCAGATGTGGTTTGGAAGACAGGCCTGGCTTCTGAAAGGTCACAGCATTGAAAGTGTCTAAATCTAAGTGCTCTGTTTAAGAAATCGTTGGGAACTCTATTGTTGTGAATTTAATTCCTTTTTGGTGTTTTTTTCTTCTCTGACTACTTGGAATAAAAATTCACACGATTTTTCTTTTGTCTTGTTGTGTGCCATGGAGAGCAACCCTGTATAAGGTTTCCAAGAGTAGCTGGTGGGTTTGAACCACCAGCTTTATTATAGAAGCACTCCCGAGTTTTTTTCTTTATATTAATAACGAGGTGATTCAGATCCAAGTCCCTTAGGAAGCCCACATTTACCCACTGCAGCTCCTCCAGTGTGGCTGTGTCTCGCTAGCTGAGTCTACCCTAAGGTCATCATGAAATCTTTGAAATGCCCACTTTCCTATGTTCCCACAGGACCGAAATGCCCTTCCTTTCGCTTCACTCCCTGAGACCAAGACTATAAGTTGTTGTTTTTTTCCCCTACTGATGTAATTTCATGCTATATTTATGTGTGTAGGGGGTGATAAAATATAGTTAATGACATTTTTGTTTTGTAGCCATTTTTGAGTGTACAATTCAGTACCATTAAATTCGTTCACTGTATTTGTACAAAGTCACCGTCGTCAGCTTCCACATTTTCCATCATCTGAGCAGAAACTCACCTTCCCCTCCATCCACCTCTGGTATCCACTTAGTCTCTATCCATTTGCCAATTCTCCATATTTCACTGATGGCAGATTGTGCTGTGTTTGTCCTTTTGTGTCTGACTTTACTCATAGGTCTTCAAGGTTCATCTGTGTCATAACCTTTATGAGAATTCCTTTTTTTTTTTTCTCTCGTTTCTATTTTTCAGGCTTTTTGTTGTGAACTGAGTGAATGTCCACAGAGCAGATCATCAGTTCCACACTCGACAAACCTCACACTTTGCTTCATTACATGGTTGCAATCCCCTCCCTGCCCTGACAGTTAACAGCATCTACTTCTACCTACTTCAGCACTGCATCCCTCCCCGGGTCCTCCACTGCCGTCATTCCTCCTCTGCGGACCTCCCTCCTGCCCTGTCATCCACACCAACATGTGTCCACCCTCTAGCTGATGAACAACTTTCCCTCTCCCCCACAAACCCCCACAACCATCACAGATCGCTTCCTTCTTCAAGCAAACTCTTTGACAACATTGGTCTCATAGGACATGTGTCCCTTTGTGATGATGGACTAATGTCACTCAGCATAATGGTGACGGGTTTCACAGATTCATGGTTATTCTTCAGCGTTTTGTAGTATTGCAGTGTGTGCAGGCACCAAGGGTCGTTTAACCATCCTTGGGTTGATGGGCATTTAGGCCGCTTCCCTCGTTTTGATGTGTCTCTTGTAGACAGCATATTGAAGGATCCTCTTTTCTTATCCTTTCTGCTCTTTATGGTTCTTGACTGGAACTGGAACGTTGACTTGGTTACACTCAGTGTAATGGTCAGTAGGTGTGAACTGACCGCTCTCATTTCCCTGTGTGTGTCTTTGTGGTGTTGCTGGATTCTTCGGTCCACAGAATTGTCTACGCTGAGTTCATTTTGTTTGTGCGTTTTCTTGTCATTTTCATTTCTGTTGTGTTAATGTTTACTAAATCTTTCTGATTTCCTCTTTTTTCATTTTGATGTGCAGGCATACTGTTTTTCTTTGAGATTACCCTGTCTTTATTCATTTTTGCCCCCTCCTTAAAACAATTTGTTTTATCTTGAAATCCACTGGCTTCCTTGCCATTTGTAAATTCTGTTTGTACACGATTGATTCCCTCTTTTTGCTTTGTAGTTGACTTCATTATGCATTGATTGATATCTTTGGTTCCCTCTTTTCAGTCTTGAAGATTTACTTTCTTTTAAATCCTTCTATATCTGGATTAAGATTCTGGGTGGTGGTGTCAGGTATGGTAATCTCAGGTGGTTCTCTGTCCAAAGAACATTCTTTTAGCATTTTTGGTACAGTTAGTCATAACAGATTCCTTTCACTCTGTCCCTCGTATATGAGGGACAGCTTTGCTGGCTATATGATTCTTGGTTGACAATCTTTTTCTTTCAGAGTTTTGTATATGTTATCCCATTGTCTTCTTCTTGCCTGCATGGTTTCTGCTGAGGAATCAGAGTTTAGTCCCATGGGTTGTGCCTTGTCCAGAAGTTTTCATTTTTCCTCAGCTGTTCTCCAGATTCTTTCCTTGATTATGATATGTCTTGGTGATTTTCTTTGGGGATCTAGCCTGTTTGGGGTTCATTCAACTTCTTTTATTCTTATCGTCTCATCGTTCATAATGTTAGAGGAATTTTCTTCCAACTCTGTATAATTTTCTCTATGTTTGTCTCTTTCTGTCTGGAATTCCCATCTCCCATAAGTTGTTCACCTAACTCTCAGGCTTTCTTTAGATTGTTTTCATTCTTTTTTATGATTGTTCTTCTGTTGTTGTTGTCAGGTGCCATCGAGTCAGAACCGACTCACAGCGAC